ATGTCCCTCTGTAGCCACTGCATTGCAGCCACATAAGTGTGTGTAAGCTGTTTGCCGCACTGGAATAGAGAAGACTTACTGCTGCCACAATAAGGGTCCCCTGAAACCTGTTTCATGAAAGAACTTCACTTCAAGGATCAACACCTATGTCTAAAACTTAGACTGCTCCAGCGGCTAGAAGAGATCAATACTGAATGTCCTGGGGGAAAACAATTGCAAGATGCATTTGTACTTACCCCATCCTATTTAAAAAAAAAAAAAAAAAAAAAGGCATGTGAAACCTTTGAATGTTCTTTTTACCTTCCTAACAACAAAAATGTTTACATTAGAGACATTAACATCTAATTTCACTAGGAGTAACAGCACAAATGTACATCATATCTGCAACTGGAAATGGACAGTAGTCACTTTGTCCAAATAAGAAATAAAATCAAATGTAAGATTGTGCAACATTGCTCTTAAGCATTTGTGGAGGGGGAAGGGGTATTTGGTTTTTTATGGGCATGAATTGGGGTAGCTACTTGGAAAGCTTTTGAAGTGCATGACTCTTAAAGCTAAGTGAGGTTGAAGCCGGAGGGAGACATGAGTAAAGTACTGGAATTCAGACTCCCAGGTCCCACATAAAAGCTGGACCTAGCAGTGGCCAGTTGTTATCTCAGTTGCTGAGGAGATGGACAGAAAAGGATCCCTAGAGCTCAGTAGCTAGCCAAACTAGCCCTTTGGTGAGCTCCAGGGTTAGTGAGAGTTCTGTCTCAAAAAATTCAGTAAGGCACAGTTAAGGAAGACACAGCGTTGACCTCTGGCATCTGCACACATGTATACATATACAACACAAACACCAAGTTTAAAAGTTTAAAAGGTTAAGAGTCTGTGACTCCAGTGAGTAATAAGAGCCCCCTCTATAGGACTCTACACAAGACTGTCTCAAAATAAGCTGCCTAATGGTTACAGTCCAAGGCTGAGAGCCACTGGCTCTACTGTAGATACTTATCAGCCCACTCCTGCAGGAGTTATCTGTGTTTGCAAAGAGGTGAGAATGTTGTTCTGAGCATTTACTGAAAAAGAAAGTGATGCATGAGAGAAGCTGTAGCCTAGGCACTTTGTTTCCTTTCAACCTGTGTGTGTGAGGAAAAAACAGATTAAGAGGTTTTACTGCCTACAAGAGAGCCAGCCAAGAGATGGTGTTCAGCTCAGTATGGCAGACAACGTGCCATGGACAAACAGAGGCAGGAGCCAACTGCCTTGGATAGTTCGAAAGACTTCATAGACTATAACAACTGAGGAGGAGTTAATGAGTAGAGAACAAACAGCTCTTTGGTACTTTATGTTTTTCAGTTGGTGGGATATTTAATATGAAATACGGGAAAATAAACTTCAAATTTATATAGGAGAACAAAGTGAGTGCATTCTCAGAACTCACAGACCTCATTTCTAAAGGTAGAAATTTTAATTTCAGATAGTAACTGTAAGGAAGGAAGAGAGAAAGGAAAAAGAAATGCCTTTGTAATGTTAAAATAAAAGACTATAATTATTTGGATAGAAAATGTCTTTTTAGGCAAAGTAAATATAGCATGACTAAACATTTCTTTGAAGATTTATCATCATCAACTTGATCTTGTTTGGGACCTTGGGAAAGCAAAGACTAGCAACATATTTACTGTGGTAAAGGAATGTGTTTGTAAGAAAAGATGTCAGATTGATTTTAGGAAATGTTGAATTTGAGGTGTTTATGAGGCTTGATACAGATTAATTTCAAAGCAGATAAATAGGGAGAGTGAGGTTTAAAGTTCAAGGTAGGTTTTTTGGGGATGGGGATAAAGGAAAACATACATAAAACAGCAAGTGTTAATGGAAACGTTTTGATTGAATGCTAGGGCAAGACCTGATGTGCAGAAGAGGAGCGAGCTGAAGAAAGAAGTCAGGCATGATCGTGGGAGTCCAAGGAAGGATAGTAAAGGGCCACATTACAACCGTGTACTACTAACAACTCAGTCAGCCAGCAGGAGCTGGGTAGCTTAGACAACATCTTAGGAGATTATAAGGGAATTGAGGTATCATTCAAGGCAGAAGAGACACCAGGAGATACAATAGGTTTTCTAGAAGCTACAATGTGTGCCAGCAAATATTTAGCAAGAAGTAAGAGGTAGATAATGTTCTAGATTGCTTTCGTTACTGTGATAAACATGATTACCAGAAGCACCAAGATTTCAGGGCAGGCTCAGAAGCAGGGACTGTGCAGGGAGAAACCCTGCTTTCTGGCAGTTTCTAACTCGGGCTCAACTGGTTTTCTTGTTCCACTAAGGCCCGTCAGTTTAGGGACGGTGCCACCCACACCAGTCAAGATAATTTCTCAGACATCACTATAGGCAATGTGGTCCCTGCAGTTAAGTTCCCTCTTCCCAGGTGGCTCTAAACTGTCAAGTCGACAAAATTAAGTAGGTAGTAAGGAGATTGCTGTGGCTTATTGTTATTTGTTCCCATTACTATTTGAGGGTGCCACCATAAAAACTCTTAAGAAGGTGAAGAGAATTGTCAGCATTGTGTTTGAGAACAATCAGCCGCATAGATGTGAGTAATCTGAACTGCATAGTGCATGATATGAAGCCAGACCAAATGGGAAACTGTTTGTCTAGTGGTGGGAAGACCCTGAAGAGGAGAGCAACGGAGAAGGTGGTTGGGAAATACTACCTGCAGACCTAATGGCTGCTTAGGTGGAACGCCAACAAGAACCTTCCAGTGCGCTCATGAGCCCCTCCCCATGGGAGAGCCCTGAGAAGGGAGAGGTTACAGGCTTGTCTTAGGGATGTGTTGCTCAGCACAGGGGTAAAGAACGGTTGGGGTGCCTGGTATAGCTAATGAAAAGCACCTGAGCAAGTGTCACAGCTCTGTAATGAGTGGGGAATATATTATACGGGACAGCCAGAGAGGGTGGAAGGAGGAGCAGGCTAGGCAGCGAGAATATAGAGAAGCCACCGGAACGTGGGCGTATTGATTAGGAGTTGACTGTCCTCACTGCTCACTCAGATACAACAGCACCCAGAGAACTCAGCCTCTAGAGAGCAAAACCACCTTATTCCGAAGAAGGTTGAGGGCGGTTGTGTACTTTGTCTATTTTTCCTCTTCCTCCCACTTTACTTTCACCGGTTGTTTGAGAGTAAGACTGGAAGCCTCGGGCTGTTAGCATGTGTACAGCGCTGTACTGCACTATCGACAGCTCCTGCTGTGGGGGCTGCGCAGAGGCTGCTGAGAGGCGCAGTAAGCAGTACTTACCTCACGTAGGTAGCCATGGTTAGTACATGTTAACTAGGAGAGTCAGCAATCACAGGTCTTACAGACCGGAATATAAAAGTTGACACTAGAGTACACAGAGTTTGTCAAATTAAAAGATCCCCAGGGAGAATAGTAGGCAAAGCCAGGAGGGTATCTGATACTACTTTATGGGAAGTGATGCACCATCAAAATGTATGAGGAAACCTAGCTGCAAATAACCTTAAAGTTGCAAAGCAACAAAATGATACATTAAGTATAGGAGAGTGGGAGTCTGAGGAAGGAAGAGGGTGTCGATAAGCTAAGACTCATCTATCTATGTAGCAGGAAGTCAAAAGAGAAAAGCTAAAGCTAGTAACTCAAATAGCAGCGGGAATATATTATCTAAAGCTATGGAAAAATTATCACATAACTAAAAATGAATGTACAGAATGGCTTGCTTCCTAAAGAAAGGAATGGGGCCAGATATACCCAAGTTCTCCAGTTACTTCATTAGTATTAAAAAAAAAAAATTTAATATTCTCACCATGTTAACAAATTGATTCTTTTTTATGCTATTGTAGGAATAGTTGTTTAATTTCATCTAAAACACTAATTAGTTATATCTGGCCTATAATTATAAGTATTTTGTCAGCTAAATGTTGGCATAATAGAAACTCTAACAGGAACTTTTTGGAAAGCTGTTAGGCTGTTGAGAGAATTATTGAGAGCCTGAGAAATGGAAGGTGTGTGTGTGTGAGAGAGAGAGAGAGGGAGGGAGGGAGGAGAGAGAGAGTGAGTGTGTGTGTGTGTGTGTGTGTTCATCCCAGAGTCCTGGCCATGTACTATTCCTAGATAGGTGGTCATCCGGTCATCCACGGGAAAGTAGCTAACCTACCAGGAGCCATGCCCTTTATTTAAAAAAAAAAAAACACAACTCTCCCTTCCCCAGAAGCCAAGGGATATTACTGGTGAAAACTTAGTTAATTGGACAAATGTGGTAAGTCAAAGTTGGCCCACTGTTTTGAGTTTTGGTGCTGAATTTTGGTGGTTTAAATGAGATTGTCCAGTACCATTGGCTCCTTGTTGGTGGAACTGTTTGGAGAAGGATTGAGAGGCGTGGCCTTGTTGGAGAAGATGTCACCCCAGTTGGGCTTTGAGGTTCCGCGAGCCCACAGCATCCCAAGTGTGTCTGTGTGGGGCTTGTGGGTCAGGTCCAGGCTCTTAGCTAGTGCTCTGGTGCCCTGCCTGCTGCCGTTACTCCCCACCATGATGATCAGAGACTAGCACTCGGAAACTGTAAGCCAGCCTCCAACATAACGCTTTATGTTAAAAGTTGCCTAGGTCATGGTGTTTCCTCAGCAACAGAGCAGTTGTTTTGTTTCTTAGCATTTCTTTTTCTTTTTTTTTTTTTTGGAGCCTGGAACTTGCTCCCAAGACCAGGCTGGCCTTGAACTCACAGAGATCTGCTTGCCTTTGCCTCCCAAGTGCTGAGATTAAATGCATGTGCCACCAATGCCTGGCTAACACCTGGAAAATAGTAATGCATTTTGGATTTTCTGTCGTATTACTGTGCGTATGTTAGTGTATGCATGCCATAGCACAGTGTGAAGGACAGAGGACAATTTCCCAGAGTTGGTTCGTCCTTCCACCAAGGATTCCAGAGATTAGAGTATAAAAGGCCTGTGCCACCTCTGGCACTCACTGTTCTCTGATGTATGTTCAATTAATGAAGGCTCCTTTTCTCTTTCCAGGGTGCTGATAAGACTGTGAAGGGCCCAGATGGATTGACCGCCCTTGAAGCCACTGACAACCAGGCAATCAAAGCTCTTCTCCAGTGATGGATGGATGGATGGATGGATGGACTGATAACTTGGGAAGAATGACTCTCCTGTGGCCTCACACTGCTGCCTGTCTGTCTGTCACTTTCTATCTGCCAGCTTCTTCAGCTAAATACTTTAAGAGGGGTGAGGGGAGAGAGAAATTCATAACAAAGCAGACTACCAAGGGGGAGAAACATGTTTTAGAGAAGCAGTGGGAAATGCGATCGGGCTTTTACTGGGATTCCTGATCAAACCAGCCTCTTTTCCATTTCTAGTAAAATAGACAGCTTATACCTAAGGGAGAGCAAAAATAGTGTATAGGAATCCTTGGACCTTCTCAGCTCCCGAGTTAATTTATTAATTAGTGTGTTAAAGGTCTGACTATACAAGGCCAACTCTACTTATTGGGTAGCCCTAGCTGTGAGCAGTAGTGGCTGCTGTTATGTCAACTTAGGGTGCTGAGACAAGCAATTAGCTACAGCCTTCTGCCTTAAGAGTGCACTCTCCTGGGGGCTCCTGGCTAGGTAAGAGCGCTGCCTATGGTCAGTGACCAAAATCTTGAATGACTAATCTTTATGTGAAAGCTCAGATAAGTGGCGCACCCCTAAATTGATAGATGACTAAACTTTGGATTTTCTCTCCCCTTTCACATGAATTTTGTGTCTCTTTAGATAAAACTGACTAGTTTTATTTATAAAATGTTAAATTCTAGGAGCCTAAAGGAGGAATCATTCCAGTATGCTTATTTCTTTCTTTCTCCTTTAGACTCAGACATTTATATAACATTGAAACACTTTGAGACTCCTGCTGATAGTAAAGGGAGATTTAAAAATAAAATCATAGCCATAAGCGTGTTAGTATCTTATAAAGAGAGAACAGTTGTCTTAGTACTTACGGAATTTCTTTATTTGCTATTTGAGTGAATCAGCCTTAGTTGTGTTTGGAAAATGAAGAATATTCTTTGGAATGCCTCTCTTAAGACCCACCATGGATGCTGATTTTGTAGTGCACCAAAGCTATCACTGGGGTGAGATGTACTATTTGGATAGATGGATCCTCATCCCTTCAAAAACCTGCTTGTCAGGTTTCCTTGAGCTGTTGATTGACTCTTGTTGGGCCAACACCACCCCACCTGCATAGTGTTTTTGTTTCTTTTAACAATCATGCATTGCATACATGTGATAACTTCACAATACATTCTGTGTTCTTAGAATACACTGCCCTAAAATGGTGTTCTTAGGACCTGCAGAAAATTTAGTAGACTTATCTCTAAATTTTAATTCATGAACAATAAAATGAATTAAAAACATACAACCTTAAATTTGATATCTTACATTTAAAGTGTTAAGATTTCTTTGACTTGCCATCCATACAGGCTTACAAAAACTTTTTACAGTCTTTCCTTAGCCAAGTCATGCAATAAATGAATGTACCTCAAATTTTTAAAGGGTGGGTGGGATAGGGACTTATATTCAAATTATGGATAATAAAAAAACTTTTTTTTTTTTTTTTTTTTTTTTTTTTAGGGCAATGTAGCATTCTGTAGCAGGGTTAAAATATCACCCTGTTACCACAGTCAGCCTGGCTAAATAACTATTGATCAGTTGATGATTGGTGTGTGAGTGAGTGTGTGTGTGTGTGTGTGTGAGTGAGTGTGTGAGTGTGTGTGTGAGTGTGTGTGTGTGTGTTCTCCCATGTACTCTTTTTTATCCTGTGGCTTTTTCACTTTCAACTAGCCTGACCCTGTAATTTTTCTATGTCCAAGAAAACAATCACAAAACAGTAGTTTAAATACTTTGGTATATTTGGCTAACTCTTGTGTCTTAATGCAACCTACTAGAGTTGGACATCCTACACTTGATCTTAGCCAAAAGGCCAAAAAGCTATAGAGCTGGACATCCTGGTAGTAAGTGGGGGCACTCTGTCAGTCTGTCAGTCTGTAACTATCAATGTAATGCAACAGGGAGTTTAGAGGCCTTTGTTTTCCCCTCTCGGCATACTGCTGTTTTAAAGGCTTGCATTAACCCTTTAAGCAATTTTCAGTTTTTCTTTCAAAGTGTTGTTAGAGTTGGCTATTGCAGAGAGTAAATTGTCTCATCATTCCTAAACCTGGGTCTGCTTCCTACAGTCTTTATGGTACTGAAACCATACGATTCCTTGTACAGTTTACCTTGTGTCCCTTGTGATGCAGTTGAGGCTATTTTATCTTCCCCCTTTGTTGGCCATTTTGTAAACCCATAGCTATGAAGCAATTGCTTGAGAAAATAGCGTATAAACATGGACTAGGATAGACTGACCAGGATGGTTTACAGTTTCTTTTAAAAAAAATAAAATAAAATAATAAAAAAATAAACTAGGTTATTTATAATGTATTTCTGAACCACTTGGCAGAGAAATTCATGACACTTAATGTTAATATTTTTGAATAAAGGAAGCTAAAATGTCTGCTTTTGGTACTACACGCATTAATAAAAGGTTAAGCTTTGTTTTCCACTGAAGTACTATTTAACAACTCAGATTAAAACTGCATGTTCTATAGTTTTATATCAACTCCATCATTTCATATGCACTGTATCAAAAACAGGTAATTTGCCGTTGATGGTTGGTGTTCTAACATCCCCCACAGCTTCATGCCAGCACCTGTAGACTTGCTTGAGTTCTATCTAATACAGCGCTTGCATACCCCGGCTCACTTTCTACAACCAGCTGGGCACAGAGGAAAGGCAGTAACAGCAGCATGTGGGAGCTCAAACAAGTAGCCTTCTAGCCATTTCTTCCTGGATAAAGGACTTTCAGCTTACGTGTACTTGACTTTTTTTTTTTTTAACTTCAGCTCAGCTGTGATATTGTATTCTCGGTTGTGTATAGAAGAAGCTGGTTAAGAGTGCCCTCCTACATAAATAAGCAATTGCAGTGTTTTGCATGCAAAACTTAAAAATGTAAATTGTCCTGATTCTATTTTGTAAATGGAGAAGCATCTTTCTAAGCAGGATGGAGGAAGACTAGTGTGTTGTGCATTTTGGTATATTTGAGTTCAGGGTTCCTCAGCGTCAACCCTTTGACACAGTTGGGTTTCTCATAAGAACCTAGTCATGTGCATCCCGATGCTAACTAATGCTGTGTTTAAGTTTCGTGTTGCAAGAACAAATGGAATAAACTTGAATTGTGCTACAGATAACATGTCAGCAACATGTTTATCTTCCAGACACTGTCGCCTTCCTTTCCAGACTCCCTTCAGCTATGCGAAAACCTTGACTTACTTGGGCTTTTAATCTGATTTTATCCCACTTCTAGAAAAAATAAGTGGGGAAAGAAACCAAATATTAAAGGCCTAATGGGAATAGATTGTGCCACTCATAGAGAGGCTTTTACTTCAACGTTAGTCTTGTGACACTCCTTGTTGCTGTACGTGGGTCCAGGGACCTGCCTTGCTCCCGGAGAACTCGTCACTGCCAGTGCAGCATCAGAGTGAGGACTGACACTGAAGACAGTAGGGCCGTGGCTATCTTTCCAGCTCCTTCCTTGCTCCCTTGGGTTGATGTTTGTTTCTTGAAGACCTACACTTCCCAAATTAATGACCGCTCACACAGACTAGAGTGTACTTTTCTGGGTGAATGATCTCTTTCAGTCTCAGAACTGAACAACATTATATATGAAATCAGTTTGTTTCTGTTGTAATCTGTTAAAAAAAAAAAAAAAACTTTTTTTAAGTGATCTATTAATAAAAATGAGGAAACAAAATCACGTCAGTGCTAAGATACAGCAAACCCTGTTGTCGGATAAACTGGGCGCCTGGTACGGCTTTAGGTAAATATATTCACAGAACGTTTTTCAGATAATTCTTTTTTTTTTTTTTAAGGTGTTGGTGGCGCTTGCCTTTAATCCCAGCACTTGGGAGGCAGAGTCAGGTGATTTCAAGGCCAGCCTGGTCTACAGAGTTCGTTCCAGGACAGCCAACTCTGTTACATAGAGAAACCCTGTCTGGGGAGGGGGGAGGATCAAAGTTACAGACTTCGTATTACAATACGAAGCAGCTTCCGTCTGATTAAATGTTGCCATGGGAATGGGGCCCCTTTACATAACACTTGAGCAAACTGGTAGATACGGGAAGAAGGCATACGGCAAAGAATGAACTTAACACCTAGTTTTTCATTAGGCAGCAGCTACACAGAACTCCCCCCCCCTTCCCCGCACAGCATACCACATTGCACTGACTTCTCCATCTGTGTGCAAGGCCAGTGACCTCACAATGAGAGCCCTAGACCAGCCACATTGCCCTAACTTAGAAAATCGACAGAAATGTAAATTTGTCCAGTCCCAGCTGGGGGATTTTGATGCACACTGAAGTGTAAATGGAGTTGTTACTGGTCTAAGCGGTAAAAACCCAGTGTCAGATGTGGAAAATGCTGAGAGGTCAGAGAGAAGGAGCAAACCACCCCCACACCCTACCTCCTTAGTGTCTCAGCAGACAAGAGACTGAGTTCCTGTTTCCGCCCCAGCTGTCTCACTTCCTGTCTGTACAGAACTCCAGACCTCTATGGTTAGCTAGTGGCAAGCCCCGTTTTCAGACCTTCAGACAGGCTTTATTTGTACAAGCAAAATATCACCACACTGAAACAAAATAACCATAAAAATAGCCATACAGAGAGAAAGCATCAAATAGAGAAATGATCAGGGCATGGTTTTCCAGAGATAGGGGAATAGATGGTCATTGTAAAATGAAGTTCTCAACACCCAAGAAAATCTTCAGGTGAGTTTGAGGAGTATGCCTTTGCTGTAGGGTTTGACTGTGAACCTAATGCTGCAACACTGTTAGAAAGACCCTTAGTTTGTTTTAAATAGTATATGGCATACAGCTGTGATAGACAATATTTCTGTAGTTCACCAGCCTAAAGTTGTAATCTCCAAAGCTGAATTCCCAACACGTATTCTTTACCCAAGTTCCACCTCCCGTTTTATTCTCTACAGTCACCAAAGGGAGTATACACAAGCACGTGGGAAAGATTGTGAGCCAGTGTTCTACCATCAGGCTCAGGTGGGATGCTCTAGCAGCAGACATAATGTCCACCAGTCCAGAGCACAAGGCTGAGTCCTACCCTGCAGTATAGATGGAATCGCTACAGGGTCTCCGGGATGCAATGTCCTCCTTCACCCGCATTGCAGAATGACCTACCCCTGACTCAATGTCACTCACCCAGTGATCTTCCCTTCCCCAGGTATAAGCCAAATAAACACATAAGCCCCTTCAGGACTTTTTACTTCATTGAAATAGAGTTGTTGATAAAGAAGGTTGTCAGCAACTTGAATAGTGCTTCACCATGGCAGACGCTCACCCTGCCCTGAACTGAAGTTACCAAACCATCACACATTAATATGTGAGAGACATTTTGATTCACTGAGCACAGCTGAAGACTGAACATTTGAACCTTGAGACTACCTGTGAGCCAGTGCCCCTGACCCCTGCCAAGAAGCCCCTAAATAAATCTAGTACAGACCCAAAAGGATGAAATAGAAATACACAGGTAACAGAGCCAAAATATTTTGTTGAAATGCTGACTACCAGGTCAAGTGCAGGTCACTGCCACTGGGGATATGCTGAAAGACAGCTGTAAATGACCCAACAGAACAAAAGGCCTGTCCAGCCACCCTAGCAACTTCTATATGCTCAGCTGCTGCAAGAGCAAGGACAGTCTGTTTGTACAGTTCTGGATAGAATGTGACATGTGACACTATTCATAGCAACAGTGTCTTATGTAGAATACAATAATAATGTGGAGCTAATGGATGCTGATTTTGAGAATGCGACTAGGTAACTATGTCTTTAAAGAATTTCCAAGGTTTTGAACTGACAAGTCTCAAGGGGTATTGTGTACTGCATGTCATTGTCCTGGTGTCTGATAACGATCATTCATCCGCCCCCCGCCCCCCAAGCAAGCTGCCAGGTCTGTTTGCAGTGGCTTGTGACTTGCTGGTCAGATTTCAGTAGAGAATATGCTCAGCAACCCCTCTAGGGAAATGGCCTGCTCAGGAGCACCAGCCTGGCAGGCACGGAGGGTGGTAACCCTGGCGAGTTCTGTGCTAGAGCTCTGTAGTAGATTGTCCTAATGGGATCAAACAGAACCTTGGCACTGTCTCTTCAGGGACCTGGGATGCCTTTGGACTTGGACAGGACCATGCTTGCTTAGCCAAAAAAAAAAAAAAAAAAAAAACCCAAAGTTTTCCAATATTTGCTCCCCAGAACACAAGATTTTCATCTTTTTTCTCCCTCTTATGACTGTACCTTTACATCTTTACATAAATCGTGTA